GTTGAATCGTCCTATTTGTGACTCGTCAACGCCATAAGGCTACGGAGGTGCGGAAAAGCAGCAGGACCGGATGAAATCCCCCCAGAAGCACTGAGAACAGATGCAGAGACAACAGCGGACATGCTCATACCACTACTGCAGAAGGTCTGGAAGGAAGGGAAGGTACCTAGCGATTGGAAGAAGGGCTATCTTGTCAAACTCCTGAAGAAAGGCGACCTAAGTTTTTGCAAGAACTGGCGAGAAATCATGCTACACCCCTGTCCACCCAATCCAAGCAAGATATTATACCGCATCATCCTGGAGAGACTAAAGGATGCGTTGGATTCAAAATTACAACAGGAATATGCTGGATTCACAAAGTATAAATCATGTGCGGACCAAATTGCAACGCTTCGCATCATCATAGAACAGAGCATAGAATGACAGTCAACTCCATCGACTTTGAAAAGGCCTTCGACGGCGTCGACGGAGAAGTAATTTGGCAGTGGCTTCAACACTACGGTTTTAGTGACACAAACCTTTATCAACCTCATTCAACAACTATATGAAGACGCCACATGCCGGCCAAGTAATTCACAATGGGAAGCTCAGTAATGCCTTTGAAGTGAAGACATGAGTAAGACAAGGCTGTCTACTATCACCCATGATCTTCCTGATTGTGGTGGACTGGATCATGCAGCAAACCGTGAGGAGTGAGAAGAGGGGGATACATTGGACCGCGGAAAAGAACCTAGAAGATTTGGATTTCGCTGATGACTTATGTCTAATGTCACACAAACTTGAAGATCTACAGGCGAAAACTAACAAGTTGGCAGAAGAGGCAGGGCAGCAAAGACAGGACTTCAAGTGAACGTAGAGAAGACAGAGGTGATGAAGATACTCAACCAACACCAAGGACAACAACAACAAGCTCCAATCACCATGAACGGTAGAAACTTGAAGGAAGTAGCCTATTTCACCTATCTAGGCAGCATCGATTCAACTACAGGTGGCACAGACGAGAACGTCAAAGTCAGGATCGCAGAAGCAAGACAGGCGTTCATTAGCCTGAAAGCAGTGTGGAGATCTTCTACACTCAGCATAAAGCGTGAACAACATCCGGATTTTCAACACCAACCCAGTCAAGTCAGTGCTTCTGTGTGATGGTTGAGAGACTTGGCGCATTACGAAAGGGATTTCCAACAAACTACAGATATTCATCAACAACTGCTTACGCTGGCTCGTTACTGAAAGTCAGATGGCCAGAATAGTTGGAATAAGCAACAAGGAACTCTGGCTGGTGACGAACTAACCAAGAACCTATCGCTCAACAAATATGCACTGGAAGGAAGTGGAGATGAATCGGGCATGCACTGAGAAGACCATTCGGGGACATCATGTGCCAGGCACTCGAGTGGAACCCAGATGGGAAGCGAGGGGTTTGGCGTCCGAGGTGAGGGTGACATGAAGGAGGTCGTGTGAGGAAGAAATGAGAGCTTGTGGGCTGTCGTGGAGCCAATTTCAAAAGATTGCAGATAACAGAGTGGAATGGAGGCGTGCTACTGTAGTCCTATGTTCCATTAGGAACCCAAGTGACAAATAAATAATAATAATAAATTAGAAATCAAGTGTGTTATGAAGCTAACGAACTGAGTCATGTAGGTGCTTAATTCATGCGATTCTCATTTTATTTTATTTTTATCATGAATATTCAGGTCTATCCACAATACCGTAACCAAAATGGTTTTTCACATGACCATTTTCAGCAAGATGTGATTTATACAAGCTGATCAAATTAACCCTCAAATCATTTAGGTCAGTAGTATACTTAAATCACAAAGAAATACACGAACGTTGTTTCAACGGACTTACTCCTAGTATTCATACACTTAACTCATCAATTTCAGCTACATTTGCATCAATTGTTGAAAACCAAGTTCATCTCATTCTTGGTGATACTTATTTGAATGTAATCAATGATTAAAACAAAACAGTAGATGCAAGATTCTCTACATAATAACTAAAGTGATCGTTTGTTTACCGTCTGCAAGATGCTAGAACATCGCCAGACGTATTGCAGACCAACAATGATTGTGCTTCGTTACTTTAGAGCTGCCTTCGATTTGTTGGACAGAGCTGTACTCTGGAATTGCCTGTTAGAGAGTGGAGTTCCTGAGAAATTTAGTAACTTGAAAGCCCTATATAAAAAAACCTATCTCTATTATTCAAACCAGAAGTGACGTTAGGCAGGGTTACCGGATTTTTCCATTTATATTTAACTTTGCCATTGATGACATTCTCAAGATAGCTCTGAAGAGGGTGCATGATGGTGGTGCAGATCCACTACTCGGAGAACAGTTAATCAACCTAGAATATGCGGACGATATAGTCTTACTGTGCGATAACCCATAGGCCACTTAAGTCGCACTTAATCAGTTGGTGATTAGTGTCTGTAAGTATGGGGTGTGCTTTACACCACCGACGTGCAAAGTAATTTTGCAAGATTGTCAGGGGTCTGTGTCTGCTCTTGTTCTGGGTGGTGAGCTATCGGAAGTAGACGGAAACCTCGTGCATCCGAGTAGTGCTGCAAGTGTTGGTGCAGGCGTGAGTCATGAAATTTTCAACCACCACATATCAAAAGCCACAGTGGCGTACACCAGTCTCGGCCACCTTCAGTGTCATTGCGAAGTTAATCTAACTGCAAAACGTCAAGTTCGCAACCTTTTGATACGAGCACTTCTGTTCTACGCCTGTCAACCTCACATCTCCGAACTGAGCATGTGCAATGACTCTGTGTGTTCGATCATCGTTGTCTCCGTAGGATTGCTCATTTCCGGTGGCAACACTCTGTAGGTAATTCTCAGGTATGAAAGCGTGTGTTTGGGCATGGTGGAGATCGTCATTCAACAAGTGAAGTCATCTGGAAACACTGGATTCGGTGGACTGCACATGTGTCACGCATGTCGGCCCATCAGCTTCCATACCGTTCATTGTTTACTAGCTCTGGAACTGGAGGGAAGAAGCATAGGGAGTGGTCAGTAGATGACGCGGTGCCGTGGAATGAAGGATAGTTGTACCGGGTTACCATCTGTTGGTGGATCACGACTCCCTGAAGGGGTCCGAGAGATCACACAAATCGGTGGTTTCAGACGTTATCAAATATGGCTCAGGATCAAAACCAGTGGCGGTCATGATGTGGCTTCCTTCTTTGGTCTACTGCTGAAAAGTAATGGATGTTTTGCTGAGAATGTATCTTACTGGACGGTCTTTCAAACCATGGAGTTCTTATTGTTTTTAGTTCTAACTTATCCACTTCGCATTATTTGTCTTCACCCTGTTGTTATACTATTTTGTGTGGCGCATTCCTTGATAACCTTGCTGTACCATGTTTATGTTTTACTACTACTACTACCAATAATAATGATAAAGTGATGTTTCAGTTGTTCAAGGTGCACATAAGTCCAGCTGAAGAGTGCCAATAAGTCCAAAATCGAGGAAGAAGCCTTCTAGAAAGAAACAATAAGTGCATACTTTTACGAATGATTTATCAATACTCTACTACGTCATTTACTGAAGTATCACTATGGAAACATGAAGAAAGGCTGTAATGTTTATATAACGCAAGCAGGAAAAGGGAGGTGCAGCAAAATTTCTTCTGATTTACTGGTCACACACAACTAGAGACGTGAGGAACGAAGGTATCAAACAAAGCCAACGTAAGATAACAACCTTTTCCAATCTCGAAACTATGATTTACGTGCAAAAGTAAGTAGAGCGAGGTATGCAACTCTAGAAGACGGAATATTGCATCCTCAATATGAGTTGATAGTCTATCTTAAAGCGTGAATACCGTCAATAGAAAAACAATATTTTTCAGTTAAATTTTGAGGGGGTTGTGGAGATTTGGAAATATTTCAAGTTATTATTCATCGAAGACTGACATCAATTGGAGGAACAAAGGAAACCTGGGAGCACTGGACAGCTGTTTCGTCCTAGTATGGGACTCCTCAGCAGTGCGCACCCACGACCCCACCAGCAGGGATCGAACCCGCGACCTTCAGGTTCCGCGACCAGCGCGTTACCATTGACGAAACAGCTGTCCAGTGCTCCCAGGTTTCCTTTGTTCCTCCAACTGATGTCAGTCTTCGATGAATAATAACTTGAAATATTTTTGAGTGTCTATCTTGTCTACTTAGCTTGGCTTTCACTTGTCCAAAATTACGCCTAAAGATTCACACTACTTATTAGCAACAAAAGTAATACTTTGAGGTGGTGGAGAATATTTGTAGCTTAGAGGGGTAATTTTGGTGTTCTGTGAACTAGATGATTTAATTGTGCAGTTTTCGTTGTCATTCTAGATAACACACCATCAGCGCAAACTTCAGAAAGAAGCTTCTTTCCGTCAAAAGTAATGCTACCAACTAAATGTCAGTGTGAAATATTTGCATGAGGAGAATAAGGAATAGGACTGAAAAACTGTCAGATGAAGAAATAAGTTGGCCAAAAAAGGGAATTTTAGCTCAAAACTGAAAACTATGTGAAGCTACTAAGACTGGTTTTGAGCCATATGACCAAGAGTCACAAATCACTGATTCCTATTTTATCATGGAATTTTCATAGAGAACATACACCTCGCTGCATAGCACCAACTGTACTCATTTGAAGCAATGATGAACTCTTGGTGAATATAATATGAAGTCAAACGGTCTATTCATAGATACGCCACAGCTATCAAATTCATTTTTCATGATCAGGTGATTTATAGAGGGAAACTTATTGGTACCTCAGATGGATTGTTACAGCCTACTCAATTACATAAAATACCTTATAAGAAATGTATAAGCTGACCGCTTTGTTAGTCGAGGATTCCTTACGCGTAGCATTTAACTGGTAGTTATCTTTAAACGAAAATCTCCTGATAACATGAGTTTAATCCTTATTGGTCAGACAAAAAATTAATGGTAGTATTTGCAAAACTTTGACAAGAAACTGAGCAAAAGATTTCGAAAACCCACTCTTACCAAATTGATTATTTGCATACATATGAATTTCACCATTGATGAAAACTGAACACAAAGATGAATTCGAATTCCATTGTGGTTGCCTGATGGGAGGTAATAGAAAATGAGTAGGTTAAAAAACTTTTTAGTAAACAATTAAATCAATATCCAAGCTATATAGGTGCAGCGTAACAGACCCTATTGCAGACAGTTGGTATCCTAATAAGTACTGATTTAATATAGTTGTTTTGATCATGGTCAGCACATAAAAAAAAAGCTCAAAACATGGATGACAAGAAAATAATAAAATAACAATACAGATTCTGAAACAACGGTGTATCAGTCCAAGTTGATATATTCGAAAACGGCATCAGACATGAAGACAAAGAAAGTTTACAACAATCATAGAATGTCACTAGCAGTAATGAGGAAATTAGACGTAAAAAGGTAGACCCTTCTACGACAACAAGACCAGCATCACTTGCAACATTATAAAAACGAATAGATTCACACTATTGAATCATATTGATTCAAATGCTCAATCATCAATTACTGATGCCGCCTTAGCAACTAGTCAAGAATTTCACAAATCAGTGTAATTCCCTTATCGCAGTGCTTAAGTAGAGTATTACCATACCGAGAGTTTTCTTATGCCATAGTGGACTGAGACCTGGTATGCGTCATGTAGGTCTAATTCACGTCAGTATATACAGACGTTCAATTTTATGAATTGATTCAGTTCCTGCACTCGGCTGAGTGCTGCACATACATTCCGTAACGGAAATTATGGCACAGTTGAAATGTCGCGTCTCCATAGCATTAAACATCAAAGTAACAGCTATAAGAATGTGATAGCTGGAGGATTCTCTACTGATTACGTAACGCTGAAACCAATAGGCTAAAATGACTTTGTAATTCACTCATTATACTTTTCGTGTAGAAATAGGAAAGTGAATGGTGAAGTCCTAAATATCCTTTTTGTGTAATAAATAGAAATCACCTTAAACACACATATCAACTGATCGAGAGTAATAAATAACAAAATCGATATTGACATGTAAAATTTGCTTATTCATACTACTAACAACAATCAGCAGTAATAAAGCCTTCAGAAAAGAAAAACTAGCAATATTAAATAAATGCTACCTTTCAAATCAACAGGGTAAAAACTTACGTACTGGGTTATGGTGTTACACTTATTGTTTAAGGGTTTATTAAACTACCCGGTTGCCCAGGTTGTAGTAAGTGGAACGGGGTCCGAAACTAGAGCTAGTTGCCTTGATGTAAATTGTTTCAGCCAATGAGACAAATCTGCAACGATAAACTATTTCTAACCATGTTTGTTACAAACATAAATTCATCTTGTCTGAACAAAGCAAACCAAGTGTGAAAATTTGCTAAGAACTCAAACTCAAGTACTACTATTCTATTCCACAAGCGATTGTGTGTGAAAACAGGTTTTACCTGTAGTAAAATCTGGCTGAAATTTAATGTTAATAGAGTAACCATCTAATTATGCAAGAACGCATCATACTTTAAATATTCAGTTCGAGGTGACAAGACTCTTCAAAACAATACTAAGTTGAAGATAGAAAAACCACTACTTCTATCCAAATATTTACAGATTGTAAAACCATCAACAAAAAATCTTAGTCACTACGTAGAACTTATGAATGAAGTTCACAGTTGTCAAAAACGGGATCATGGGTTTCAATTAGTTTATCTAACGTGGTCTGAGGGGTCAGACCACGTTGTTTATCCCCAAACCAGCCATGACTCATAAACCTGTAGACAAACATCTAAGCGATTCACCACTATTACTGTTAATATTATCATGCGTATGAACCCTTGGAATTTTTAATAGGAAGTTAAATGAAACTCAGTCAATCTAACACATTACAGTGATAAGGAATACGCAATAACTGTTCGATTATTTAGCTTTCTTTATGAAAAAAAATGCAAAACTTGTTTTAAACACAGCTTTTTTTGAACTAATGGATGCATTTCAATGACCAGAATACGTCGAAAAGCTGCACTGACTCAAAAGTAGACAAACACAGAGCCTACACAACGGTGATGAGCATTAATGGCTGCAGAATGCTGAAGAGATACAAGAGTCATCAGCAATAGGTAACAGTGGACAGTTATTTAGATTGATCGAAGATACTAGTCAATAGCTAGTGAGGCAACGACAGAAAGACATGGCTCTGAGACTCACCAACAGAACAGACAACTGGAACGATAGATGGAACACTTTGAAATTTTTAAAAAATCTGAACTATAGCTACCATCCGGTCGCCCACTACAAAGGCGGAGCCTGACTGTAACTTCACTGTTCTATTATATGACTTTGAAATATGACGCTGAAAAGTAGGGTACATCAGAAGGTTTCAGGTAGTCGACATCAGTTGACTTCTTAGTATAGGTCACGAATCCTGGTGCCATCACGTCAGTAATGTAAAAGCACAGCAGAGCTCTGGCAGAAGAGGAAAGTCAGTTGATAAAGTTCTTAAACCTGATTAATAGCAATTTCCTTAGAGTACAGACTTAGGACGACATAAGTATCAAGAGATGCACCAAAAAAGTAATAGAGCAAAACTAGAGACATAAGCAATGGAAGAGAGAATGGAAATGGACTTTTATTAAACAGGCGCAAAAATACATCTGGAGAAGCATTCACTACTTTCACACCTATTGTATATCAAATTCCTTGCAGCAAGGGTAACGTTACGATAAGGTAGAATGTCATCCAGGTTAGCATACGTCACTCCGGCATTTGAAATAGTTAGAAATTTAATCAGTTACATCCCCGACAGCACTTACTCAACAACCCAGGTACACAAAATTTTCGAGTAAGTGCAGGTATAGGCATCTAGCAATCTCGTTAAAACAATTTACACTTCGACATGGCGAGGCACATAACATACATTTGGATACCAACTTCCAACCGACTAGATCAAAACTGATTACCATATATGTCACACAATAATACGATATTATCCACATACTCGGAGTCTAATGTCTTTCACCTGGTAATAGGTTTGCATCACCACCCATCTCCTTCAGTATTATCTTGAGAAGGTCATCGATAGCATAGTTAGAGAGAAATGGGGAGGGTGGGCAGCTCTGCCTGACCATTTTATTGGTTTCAAATAACTGAGATAGGTCGCCGTAGGTCTTCATCCTTCCTGGCGTGTTTAAATATGTAGATTTCATAATTTAACCTTCTCAAGAACGCCCTTCTCTAACATATAGTTCCAGAATACAGCCCAGTTCAACAAATCGCAGGCAACCTTAATATAGAGAAGTACAACAATCGTCGGTCTGAAATACATGTGACGGCATCTAAGCACGTGACCAGTGAATCGACATCTTGAAGGAAACCTGAACCACTGCTTATGAATGAGTTTCCCAAACATTTTCACAGCGCGCTAAGGATGATAGCAGTCAACAGTTTGGATGCTACGGGTAGCAGACTGATATCCGGATGATTCTGATATGTCACGTAAATACTTTGAAAATGGCTACAGCGATGTCCTCGTATCAGAGTGATGTAATACTTTCGGTCTGCCAAATCTTCCCAAATAGTGTAATCAGTTCCCTGACTTAAGTTTAACGTTCACCTTTTAAAAGAGCAGGATGTAGGTTGTCTATACTATGTGCCTTATGGCGTTTTAGAACTTGAAATCATGTACGGACCTCCACCTCGTAAGGTAAGTGGGTGTTAACCAACTATGAAGTACAAGACAATGAAGTCGATGTTGCTAGGCTAGTGTGCCAACTGAACTGCTTTTCGAAGTGATCCATTCAATGTTTCAGAAATCCATAAAAGTTGGCAATCGGTAAATCCTCCACTTCCCAAACCTTCTTATTGTTAAGCTTTCCCCTGCCGATCGTGTAGATGAGCTGGAATAGCCTTCAACTATTGGGAAATGCAGGTACTGCCTCCATCTCAATTATGAGCTATGGTCACCAAGCTTTGCATTCATTATGCAAATGCTGATTGATCTGTCACGTAAGAGAACTAAGCACACCAATTCATACGGCTAGGAATGAGTTACACATATCTAGTCATCACATGTCTCGCCATGTAAATGTGGCTGAGGTAGGTTTAGGTAACCTATGAGATCTCTGACTGTTAGTTTGAGCTGGGAAGAAAAAGTGCAAACTTTCCGGTTGGAGGTATACGTCACAACTGAAATAGCTGGGTGAAGACCCTACATGGTATGGATCAGAGCCAATCTGTAATGCAGAGACATCTACATATTATCTCCATCTTATTCAACATATCAAACCTCGATAATGTTTCACCTTTTTCCCCCTTCTTCTTATAAGTTTCTATTACTTTTGATTACGTTTTTCCTTAATTACTTTACCTTTGATCTCAGTGCAACCTTAACTGTTACACTGTAATTTCATTTCCCATACTGTTATTAACTGACTGGCTGACTCATTGACCAAATGTTTTCAGTACAAACAACGATTTATGTGCACTTATGAGTGTATGTTAAGAATATTAACTTACCACCCATCACCTTTGCTAAAGATATATTCTTTTAGCTTTACTCCATTGACAAAGTCATAAATTGAGATATTCGGCAACCCAGAAGGATTTTTCTCATCAACTATATTCAACAATAATAAGTCTGGATCAAAGAAGTAATACGTTACCTCGAAATAATTTGTAGATAAATCCAAATTTCCCACATGGCGATAGTAAAATGCGTGAAGCTGATTCAACTGGGACAGTAGAATAAATGGACTGATCATCCACATTAATCAAGGTTGCTCTACAACTAATAGATACAATCTGAATAACACTCACTTAGTTCCATCTAGGTAACCCAAGGATGGACTTGACTTCGCAAAAGATAAACACTTTAGGGTAGTGGATGGTTCACTGGAACATCTCGCTGACAAACATTAAAACTTACTGTTTAAGCTGTATAATTCTTTTATTTTCATCCAACTCGTATATCCTCAATCCATCGCTTGCCCAACCTTATTCAGAATAGAGACTTTTATCGTATAACCTACTGACAAATACCATGACTGCAGATTGGCGTTGGAAGATTTTTATGATCACTGATTATTGCCTAGTACACTGAAATCACAGGTTTAAAATAGTGGTGTCAGTAATTTCATTTTTAAGATAAGTGACGCTAATAATAAATAATTACGTAACTGATTGATGCCTCATTGTAGATTGAGTTCTCTATGATTTCCACATGTTCAAGCTATAAACCCAGAATAACGTAAATTATAACCTTGCAATTAAAGTAGGATGATTTTTGAAATTTACTGCTTTTCGGTTGTGGATAATTTTTGTCAATCACTGAGCAAATACGTTGTGAGTACTTGTCTAGTCGTTAGTTTAATTTTTCCCTTAGATTCTTCCGCTGGTTGTATGAACGAACATAATTAAACTAAAAAACCTTCTGCACAACATTTTATGAAAACTCAAATATAATTTAGACGCAAGTACATCAACAGATGTTAATTCCATAGTAAACCCAAACATTGAATGGAATTTAGATATCTCCCAGACGCTACAGAGGGTGTAAGTTTTGAAAAAGCTAACTGTCCGTGTTGAGATTTTGTTGGTGACCAGCCTATGAGAACTAATGACACTTCCCAGGGAAGTGAAATGGTCAATGTTCTCAGTCAGTTTGCTCTTCGTTGTTAAACTAAGAATCCATGTAAAGTGAAGTAACAGCTTACACTTAAGTGAGCTATGTAACCCATTCGTTTTAAAATCATCCATAAAAATAGATGTTGTCAGTAGCATCATCTAACGGGATCATGTCTGTCTGTGGCTAATGAATTTCAATCGAGGAAGTCAATATGATGGAGAATGACTAAATTGAGTATGCCTATAAAGGTAAGTCAAATGGAGTGGACTCAGCTAACGGTGCCATTCAACACTACTCATCGAAGGTCTTGACACAGCCACAAGCGTTCGGTTGTAAAACTTTCAGTGAAGATATCCAACTGTGAGGAGTAGTTTCGAGTGAAATACTGGCTCAAGACCTGAAGACAGGCGAAGTCTAATACAGCAATAACGTCGATAAGTATGGTATGTGTCATATGTCATCACCGAACTAATGATCAATCCATAGTAGGTATACGATAATACCACATAGGGAATTTAATTATTAGTTCTGAAGCTACTGGGCGATTTTAAGTCATGCCATATTATGACATGAAACGATTTTGAAATTAAGAATGTATGTGATCTGACTATAAAGCTGTACCCAGCTTAGAACCCTACCTACCTGGCTCACAGCAATCAGGTAGCATCAAAAACCGTCATATATCAGTTGTAACTTACTGACTGGTATATGAATCTATAACGGATCTCTGAACTCCACCACTGTGGTCGTCTTATGAGTTCTTGGTGAACCTGAAACAGGACAGCGCAAAATACGTACCTAACACCTACAAGTATACCATTACATACATAGACTTATTACTTCATTCTAGGAAAATGCATTAGCCCGAACAGGTTGGTTGCTGGCGAAATCTCAGCCGGTTACAGATGGCATCTACCCAGTGGCCTAGTAGATAATACTTTGGCCTTGAAGCGACGGCTTAGAGTCTAGGTGAGGATAACACTTATTGGGGTGCATGTACATCCAGTTGACGAGTCACTAATTATTATTATTTATCCCTTTGGTTCCATTTCACTCTGTTATCTGCAATCTTTTGGACTTGGCTCCACGACAGCCCACAAGCTCTCATTTCTTCCTCACACGACCTCCTCCATGTCACCCTCACCACGGACGCCAAACCCCTCGCTTCCCATCTGGGTTCCACTCGAGTGCCTGGCACATGATGTCCCCGAATGGTCTTCTCAGTGCATGCCCGATTCATCTCCACTTCCTTCCAGTGCATATTTGTTGAGCGATAGGTTCTTGGTTAGTTCGTCGCCAGCCAGAGTTCCTTGTTGCTTATTCTAACTATTCTGGCCATCTGACTTTCAGTAACGAGCCAGCGTAAGCAGTTGTTGATGAATATCTGTAGTTTGTTGAAAATCACTTTCGTAATGCGCCAAGTCTCTCAACCATCACACAGAAGCACTGACTTGACTGGGTTGGTGTTGAAAATCCGGATGTTGTTCACGCTTTATGCTGAGTGTAGAAGATCTCCACACTGCTTTCAGGCTAATGAACGCCTGTCTTGCTTCTGCGATCCTGACTTTGACGTTCTCGTCTGTGCCACCTGTAGTTGAATCGATGCTGCCTAGATAGGTGAAATAGGCTACTTCCTTCAAGTTTCTACCGTTCATGGTGATTGGAGCTTGTTGTTGTTGTCCTTGGTGTTGGTTGAGTATCTTCATCACCTCTGTCTTCTCTACGTTCACTTGAAGTCCTGTCTTTGCTGCCCTGCCTCTTCTGCCAACTTGTTAGTTTTCGCCTGTAGATCTTCAAGTTTGTGTGACATTAGACATAAGTCATCAGCGAAATCCAAATCTTCTAGGTTCTTTTCCGCGGTCCAATGTATCCCCCTCTTCTCACTCCTCACGGTTTGCTGCATGATCCAGTCCACCACAATCAGGAAGATCATGGGTGATAGTAGACAGCCTTGTCTTACTCATGTCTTCACTTCAAAGGCATTACTGAGCTTCCCATTGTGAATTACTTGGCCGGCATGTGGCGTCTTCATATAGTTGTTGAATGAGGTTGATAAAGGTTTGTGTCACTAAAACCGTAGTGTTGAAGCCACTGCCAAATTACTTCTCCGTCGACGCCGTCGAAGGCCTTTTCAAAGTCGATGGAGTTGACTGTCATTCTATGCTCTGTTCTATGATGATGCGAAGCGTTGCAATTTGGTCCGCACATGATTTATACTTTGTGAATCCAGCATATTCCTGTTGTAATTTTGAATCCAACGCATCCTTTAGTCTCTCCAGGATGATGCGGTATAATATCTTGCTTGGATTGGGTGGACAGGGGTGTAGCATGATTTCTCGCCAGTTCTTGCAAAAACTTAGGTCGCCTTTCTTCAGGAGTTTGACAAGATAGCCCTTCTTCCAATCGCTAGGTACCTTCCCTTCCTTCCAGACCTTCTGCAGTAGTGGTATGAGCATGTCCGCTGTTGTCTCTGCATCTGTTCTCAGTGCTTCTGGGGGGATTTCATCCGGTCCTGCTGCTTTTCCGCACCTCCGTAGCCTTATGGCGTTGACGAGTCACAAATAGGACGATTCAACTGCTAGTCACCGAGATGTTCGCCAAATTACGTCATCTCTGGTGCCACCCGGACATACCACTACCAAATTGAGGGTGAGTATAATGCGTAGCAGTTTGCTCTGTCGTAGTTATACGGCCAAGGTATGATCATTAAACTGAGGAAATGGGAGATAACAGGTTATCAATCACAGGTGTCTTTGTACCCCATCTCATGTATGGTGTATGTTGAGGTTAGGAAAAAGATGCCGTGCAAGGAATGCAAGTCAGTCGGTGAAATTGTGAACTTTAATCGACTGAAGTGCCTTGGAAATGCATTTCACATGTCGAGCAACTGCCTACTTCGACGTGTAGAGCTAGAAGTTGGATTGTTTGGAAAAGGCTCAGGATGGCCAAGCTAAGATGCGACATCAGCCTATGAAATTCCTCAATGTTGGTCTGAATCGTGCAGGGAGGCAGAGACTATTTGACTTGGATACCCAAGATATTAAGGATCGATGGCGCAGATGTACTCACTCTGGCAACATCAGAAGTTTGAAAATGATCACTAACCTTCATTTTTCAAATTCCTTCTTCTCCCCTACATTTAAAGAACAGTTATTCTACCTTACATGCTTCTGTGAAGTGTGACAGTTTGGACCGATACACTTCTGTGCTAGAATCTACGTCAATTTTGTCTGTTATTAAACTGATAAGTATAGTATGAAGACAGGATTTAGATTAAAATGCTAACAGGTTTGAACCCTAGACTGTTACAGCTAATAAAAATAAATAAGAATCGTCTATCGATAACTCAAGATGGATGAATGGACTTGGATTATATATTTCTCCGAAGCCTTGATAGCTTTTAAGTGAAATATAGCCTCTTGAGAATAAATCCGAAACAATAAATGTTACAAACACATTAGGTTCTCCAACTGTCATTCTAACCTCTGCATGCTAGTATATCTGCAACAGTTCAATGCATTCATATCCATTTAGTCTAATTACGCATCCAAATTTGCAATACCAGAGTTATCAGGCAGCGTTTAAGACTAAAGAATGAACCAAGTAGCACACGACGTCATCGAAAATCTAAGCTCGAGATTCTGTTGATTTGAGACCTTAGGGTAAGATTTCCCGCCAGGAATACTTGGTTTTATCACTTTATTAGATGCTCACGGAAGATAGTAGGCGTATGGCTTCTCAAGCGCCGATGTTCTACATAGAGATGTATATACTTAGAACGCACAGACCACGTAGTCCGCGTGCGAATACCAAAGGAAGTGTTCTTAAAGCAAGAGGTATCTACACCATATTTTCTTACCTTTTACAGCCATGGCATGACATTTGTGAAGTAATCTCCATTGAAACAATTTGTTTTTAGAGCACAGGGGAACGCAAGTCGACGAATAAAAAATATATGGTTAGCTATATCAATCTCAGTTTGCTCATTGAAACCATATAGCTGTCTGGTTTGAACTCGTCTCTGTTGACGGCAGATGACTTAAATACCAAGTGATTTAGTCACAGGAAACTGCTTAGTTGACTTGGCATACATGGATCACACTATCACCTTAGGTGAAGATAATGAGTCTCCTGGAAACGTTGATTGATGACCTGAGAGTATCATTTTGACTATCTGAGATAGCCGTGGTTCGACAGACTAGTACTGATACTGGGTGATGATTGAAGGTGAAATGAAAATGAAAATCTGGACTGCGGCTGGATTTGAATCGGAGACCACCGGGTTTCCGACCCGACGCTCTACTAACTGAATTACAAGGACCGACTGAGAAAAGACCAATACATGTTAATTTGGAGTTACTTGATGTTATATCTGCTGCAGTGGGCATACCTGGTGCGTATTACTATCTGTCTTTATTTCAGATGAAAACTCTCCGTAGGCTGTTACGCAGCTGCATGAGTTCGAGCTGACCGTCTTGATCAGCACTACACACTTGCTCAGTTCTCCGTTCGCATTCAGACAATGCCACAAGACCTATAGACTGAGCTGAATGTCGTCATCGGATCACGAAATATGGTGAGTCCCGAACACCGATAAGCATACGTTTCAAACCCCTCAGGCAATTATGTCCGCTCCAATGTTGACACTGGCTGACCAAGCGAGTTGAGCACCATCTGTTGCTAAGATACGTTTGGTCTAAAACATACGAGGCAAAATTTACGTCTGTAAACGCGAAATGGTATTCACCGGTATGCCCAGTCTCTAGAGCGTCGGAAAATTTCGGTATGTACGTCAAAAAAGTATCAGTGGGCTATTCAACCATTCAGGAAAAACCACATGACGCAGAACATTGCGTCCTAGCAACTGCGTGAGACACGTTTGTATAAGACGGATAACAGAGTTGAGTCTATAAGCATAAATGCCTCAGTAGCACTCCGGGACACATAGACTAAACAGTGATGTTAAAAAATTTTTATTAGGCTTTAAAATAAGCTAACTCACATGACTGAAGTGAATGAACATAAGCTGCTAAGATGGACATATCTTAACAAGCCAATGGAAAATTAAGACACCACTGACTGATTAAGTCAGTAACAGAGTGAAAATTTCATTGTAATCGATGGTTTCTTGCCTATTTCAAAGATCGGCGCCGAACGTGTTAGATTAAAGTTTCAGAGATGACACTCTATGAATGTACTTTCACCTCCTCGGGGCCCTTAATTCTATATTCTGACCCATGACTGGCATAAAATATTCTTTCTGCAATCGGGTATTGAGAACTCTGATGTGAAAGATCGGAGTATAAAGTAGCTTCATATTTTGAGTGGTCTTAACTTTGCACAGACGTGATAATACTGGACTACTGACACCCTGGTGTATCCACATTGATGAAACCGATTCTTTTGAAGAGGAAGGAAAGTCATGAACGCTGCTGAGTTAATCATGTCTGGGTCCAATGGATCTATGATGCCAATCTGAATGAACCATTCATGGAGAGCTCTCCCTAGGGTACCGAATGAGTGCTGCCACACTAATCTATGATTTAAAGACCAATCACACCTAGAATAACTATGCACACTGATGAGTGGTATGTATACTCTCAGTTAACCTCAATGGAGTATAATTAACAAGCGGCATACCATAAGTCAGGTTTCATAGACAGTAACTAAGTCCTACACATGGAAAAACGACCTCATACCCCCAATCAAACGAGTAATTCTACAGGTTCATAAGCTTCTTCGACTGCCAGAAATATGCACCATTAGGTTAGGTGAGAATAACTGAAGTATTAGGTTTATCAAGGAGGAATCAGTTCATAAACACGTGTTTATGACGGTGTAAACTGAAGAGGGTCTGTACATTCCGTCATTCTCCTCATTACCGGCAAGTTGTCCGATGTGATATCCAGTATAAAAGCTACAATCAGCTTTACCGATTCTGTAAACATCAATTCAAGTTCAAATTCATAGTGAATTTAACCATTAAAGACAACTACAGCATAATTATATAATCTGAATTACTATTTAGACACATGTTTTTTATGTATTTCTCTGATATAGTCATCCACGTAAGATGATTTAGACTTTCTATGGTATCAAAACTCCGGAATATATGTTTCTGATATGACTACAGCTAACGGCACTCTTCATTTACACCTTACGTAACGTCAGTTCCAAAATCTCACCAAATATTGATAGTTCCGTATGCTGTAAGGTGTTTAATATCCAATTCCTGTTTTAGAAATTCTGTTGACTAGTTTATTTGTTCTCACTAGCTTCTTGCTCGTTGGAAGGCAGTTCAAGGTCATTAGTCGGTTCCGATTAAATAGATCTAAGCATTACTCTGTGTTAGACCTGGTAGACACGGTCGGTGATTGGGTGTCGGTTAGATTTGTTGGCAGGTGTATGGTTAGTCCTAGAAATGCAACTCACAAGAGTTTCCTAGGTACCACGCTCTCAGATGGTTGCTTTCAAGAGATGGAACATAAGTCACTTCCGCGCTATCTGATATGTGCTTTCAGCGGAATCCTGGAATCAGTCATTGCTGAGAGAGGCGACGAAAAATGAAAAGGGTGTAAAGATAGTTTGGATTTCTGTGACGAACCCTTTGTACTACATGAAGCTCATAGTTTGTGAAAGCTCGAGGAAAGTTTCACTTTTCTGTTTATATCATTCACCGTGTTACAGTACTAGTCTTGTTAATCTACAGGTAGTATTTCGGCCTCCTCGGCAGTGGAGCATGCTGGATTTACGCCTGACCGTTTTTCACAGGAATCCACAGGTGGAATCTGAATTATGCCGCCTGACTCACAAGTTCACACTTTCAAGTTTCGGGATTTCGCCCTGGTGCGAACTTGACAGACACAGTGGCCAATCAGTAATTATTCTTACTTGCTATGTACTCATGAATACGAGACCAAGAAGGAACACAATAGAGTAGTCGGATGGAATGCTATATTTGCGAGGTTATGTCGAAATAACCATACGTTCCAACTAACTGGCTATAGGGTTGCTTGCGTGCAATGCAACGTAACACCACAGCGCAACAAATGGCCTAGATGCCTGACCGCGTGCCCTCAGTGTGGCGGTTCCAGTTAAACTATGAAGGTGGACATCAATGCGGAATCTTGTCAAACCCTAGGGTATTAATTTCGGAGAGGTGTGTGACGCTAAAAAGTGATACTAGGCTTTACCTCTACTATAGCGAACAGTGATTATGAAGGGATGTGCGCTGACGTTCCTCTTGCGTACTGATTTCCGAAAATAGGAAATCCTAGCATTTTACTGGGTAAACAATTTGCCGTGTGATAATGCTGCAAGTGGAATGCGGCGCACTAATTTTGTTGCGGAGTTACCGATAAGTCAAGGGCGATTAGTGCAAAGAAACATCTATTATTTGTGGCTCTCGAAACTACAAGTATTATGGGGGAAGTATCTCTAGGCATTGCATCGACCACATTCCTTCCCATTTCGGATCCCATATGCCGTACATATGACTGCTTGATATGTCCTGCGCTATTAGTGGGTGTTTACTGTGGTTATTATATAGATGACATCCAGAAAAACGATTTATGAAGTAAAACTCCATAAGGCCTCTTTTGACCCTCATAATAATCGTAATAATAATGTGGGTTTCTCACTGAACAAGTTAGATGAAAACAAACCAGTTTAGAATATGACCAGTTTTCAATATAAATCCATTGTTTTGGCCACCTGCGTGCAATACATTAGAAATAGTCATTTAATGCATGTGGCAGATAGTTTAAAGATGGAACGTTACTTCGCTGGAAACTTAAACTAAAATAGCTAGGTACCAGCACCTTTGTTCGGTGGATTAAGAAAAATTCAGTCCGAAATGAGGTAGTATTCAGCCATTGTTAGAACCACCAAATATCTTTGAAGCCACGGTGGGTGGTATGCCTACGACATTGAAGATTATGCTTTCTTTATAAGGTTCTGGTGGCATGACATGCACTGAATGTCATTATTACCGGGGTACTATTCGGGGAACTGATCAGTTTAGGTGTAATAAATATAAAATAAGTTCGCCGATCATTCGGAAAACTGTATATGCCTCACGTAAACCATGGTTTGGAACCTTTTCACCAGCAGTTTCCTGACATTCAATTTATTTTGAGTATCTTGACATGTGGATGGACACTTTTTGGTCGGGAATTGAAAGACTTTCAACAAAAACTTTCTAAATGTTTTGGGGGGTGTGCCCAAGCTTTCTAAAAGGCGCAGCTATGTGAGTGAATTTATTTTAACTATCGAGAATCACCATTCTTAGCTTATTATTTCTGGTGACATTCGATAACCTGCTCCTTCTGATTATATGGTCATGGCTTATAGGAAGTCAGAGAATGGGCGATTTGCACTTGCTTGTCACGGATTGTAGGTGGCTCACTGGTGCCTAACCTGTCAGTCTTTAACGCCGCTAGTACACTTTCACAACCACTACTGCTTTCAGTTTTCTCCTCTGATCGGTAGGTCATTCACATGTAATATCTTATGTGGGTATTTATCGCCTACTTTGAACTACAACAGGTCAAGTATTGGTTCTTAAGAGGAAATATTTGCATGGTAGCGCTCGCTGACCTCTGCCACAATACCGGGCGAAATGTTTTGGCGCTGTGCGCAGATAGCTTTGCCAAATACGAGATGCACGATAATCACTATGATCGGGACTTCAACCGACTTTAAAGCAATCATAAAATGATAGGTTGGGAGACGTGTTCGGTTTTTCAGGGTTACGAGGAAGAAGTATTTATAAAGTAGTACATTTAAGACGGGAGAAGCAAATTAAATAGTCACATAAAGAAGCACAATCTTAAGCTGACACAAAACAAAATGTCAGGGGCAACAAAACAACTCTGTGTTCTTAATAGTACATCGCACTGCAGACATACAACACTATGGAAGACCTCGAAATCACTTACTCCAGAAGTTTGACTTTTACGGAGTATGCAGGTTCGATAGTTTTCAAGGGCAGAAGGCTCATGGGTCTCCTACACAGAAACATACTCACACCTGAGGCAATACTTATACTGCACAAAGTTATGGCTCGCCCTATATTAGAGCACCGCACGGTTATCTATGGTAACATGAAAGTATCGGATAGAATTCCAGTGGAGAACATTCAACGAAACTTTACTCGGCGCCTACTAATACATAACGAAGGACTTGCCTACGAAGCAAGATGCAAAAAACTAGAACTAGAATCACTCTGGCTGAGACGCCTGAAGCTCAACCTAACCTTCCTTTCTCGCTTTTTATTTGGAAACTGTAAAACGAAATGTGCTATCACTTTTAAATCAACTCATGCATATAATCTGCGTAATAGCGAGAACATCATCCCAATAAACAAGTATCGCTCAAAACTTCGGTGTGGGTTTTTCATAACACAATACAGTATGCTGTGGAAAAAACTTCCCGCTTCTATACGAGCATGTCGATCTCTCGGCCAGTTACTTAGTGAATTCCTCCTATCTAGCGAATCTCATCGACTGGTTGACGGCCAAACCACAAACGGTAATACCATGTGCAATGGTGCTACTGGTACCTAGACTCAAGGGAGACTGACAGCAGTGACAAAGGTACACAATGCCGAAAACCAAACGCATTAGTTAGGTTAAGATCTAATTTCTTAAAAAGGGTGACCAAGAGTAAATAGGAAGTGTAGTGAGATACGATTTGCAACAATGAACTCAGTCGCTACTCTAATGTGACCTTCATCTCTTCATAACCTAACCGATCTCACGACTTAGTACCTATTTCCTAAACTTCGTCCCTTAAAATAATCTCTTTACTCCGAATTGATAAAAGAACTGTCTGTCGGTGCATTTTCATAGCATGTAACATGCTCTATTATTTGCCCTTTATTATTATTACTTACATGTAAGTAATAATAATAATATTTATTCCTGAATATACAGGCACACACCATTTTTACAGGTATGAATAGGTTGATATACAAGTTACATTCATCTTCATGGAAAATAATCTCAATCCCCACCTATTGCCACTAGAAGATATAAGTGCTGCATCTTCATATAATGGAACATCCCAGCAGAATAAGTGTGCAGAGAATTTAGAGGTTGGACAAGCGGAAGTATTGTCTTCGCATTAACAAGAAAACCAGGTTTGCATCTAGACACTATAGGTATTACCTGGAGAAAAATAAAACTTGAAGCTAATACTTCCATTTTAACAGTTTGTACTTTTTGCTTGAGACAATGATGAAGAGTTTATGAATTGTTTGCATATTTTACTTCATTCACGATTCCAAGACTGTATAATTCATGCATGTTAACGCCATTCCACAAGGAAGATTCATAGTCTTGATGAATATTATGACTGGAAGCCAAATATCTTCACTTTTCCAACTTCAGCATCCAGAAGTAATAGACTTGTTTGAATGCACCAAATGGACTTCCAGGACATCTTGTCCTTCGTTTTCATGGGTTGTGACAGTCTCGCAGTTGGCAGGTGTTGGACTTTGCTAGTCACCTTTATGATGAGTAAATCCTAGATTTTGATAATTATGAAGTCGTAGTTCAGTGGACATTTTTTATTTCCGCTTGTTGTAGTTAGGTATTCTCAACGTGGTAAAACTGGTTACCCTCCATGAAGGGTAGTTTCAGCCATGGTCTGTTCCTTAAGTAATCAGTTCTCCATAGCAAAAAAGCCAACGCTTAGAACTGAGTTATTTTTCTACAATGAGAAAAAACGGACAAAGCAGCAGGCGGAGAAAGCAAGAATTTCAACAAGGAGAGTGTTTTCTATGTTCATGTTTCTCCCTACTTAACTTCCCTTGCTATGGCTTCCATTGTATATCCTTATTCTATAGAGTATTTAAAAATATAAATTTCATGCTGTCATGTGGTGTAGGACTTCTGTTTTTGATCACCGTGTTGGGTGAGGCACAATGTGCCGTTAGTTTGAGATGGTAACTTATGGAAGTCTCCTCAACGCTTCGTATGGAATGTCAGTGTAGGTGAAGTGGCTCTCCTTATACATTAAGACAGCCAAGTATACAAAGCGTCGTGAACGAGACTGTTGGTGTATTTGATAAGCCGTAGAAGTCACCAGATGATAAGAAGTCAGCCAGTAACCGACTGAATTCGGAGGTTGATTTGGAGGCCTTCACTTCAGCTAGAAGTCTGTTCCACGACTGAGAGAATTTG